ACCTCATATTTATTTAGTTTGTGCAAAGGTTGAGAAACACTGTTCTTGAGAATTGCTCAATGTTTTTTGACAGAATTCTTACCCCCCCCCCCCAACCTAACCCTGATGGCGGGAGGCAGGAGAAGCAGTTGAGAATATCACTGTAGTTGGGGAAATAAACTTTGAAGAAGGCTAACTTTGTCTGCTTTATGCAAAATAGGCTCTTGGTATTACAGTATTTGGATAACCTAGAGAGCCAGTTTGGTGTAGCGGTTATGGGATCAAGCTAGTAACTGGGAGAACATGAGTTCTAATCCTGCTTTAGGCATGAAGCCAACTGGGTGACCTTGGGCCAGCCCGTCTCTCCCAGCCCTAGGAAGGAGGCAAGGGCAAGCCACTTCCAAAAACCTTGCCAAGAAAACTGCAAGTCAACACTGACTCAAAAGCACAAAACACAGAGACAGAAATGTTTGGATAGAAGAGCACCTGGGAATCCCAGCATTGTAGCTCAGGACAGGGAGGAGGAGGAGGGGGAGGGGAGAAGGAGAAGGAGAAGGAGAAGGAGAGGAAAATAGCAAACTACTTTTGTACTCTTACCAGGAAAAAATATATGGACAAGTCCATAAAGTGACCAGGAGACAAGTCTAATGTGAAAGAGACTTTACTTTTAAAAAGTGGAGCTTGAACATGGATGCTATTTGCTCATGGGGGCAATCAGAACGGTTTTATTGTTCTGGCCATGGACATCCCCAGGGGAAGCAAGTAATGCCTCGCAAGTGATGCCTCGTATCCCAGAATGCCATCACTCCAACATGCAAAATGTCTTGTGTTCAGTGAAGACACGCCACTTGCAAAGTCCTTGTGGCTTCTACCTCCCCTACCCAACCATGCACATTAAAGAACAATGCAAAGTATTAGAGGAGTGATTCCCATAAAGGTTGAAGAAGGATCGTAAAACAGCTGATTCATTTTCTTGTTTAAAAGGCAAATCAATACAGGCCGAGAGAGAAATAAAATGACTTACCATGATATTCCTTTAATAAACGATACAGTCCTATCGGAGTTTACATCCCACCAA